TTTTCTGAGTTCACACTGAAATGTCAACTCCATAGAGAATGTAAGAGATACAATTCTATGGCTCAGGGAACTCAAATCAATGAATAGGCCTTCATTTCAATGTATCAGGTATAAATATGAACAAGTATATACTGTAACAGAGGTAAAAACAGAGGGATGCAGGAGTGTCCAATGCCCTGAATATGTTTTTGAAGGTCCCACAGAGGCAGTAACTTTCTATGTGCATCTTAATTTTGGAGTTGGGAGAACTCATTTGAAGGGTATGCTTGTTAGCAAACAAACCACATGCAAAATGATGGAATATAGAAGACTAATATGTTTGGGGTATGGTAAGAAATAGTCTGTGGCTAGAACATAGTGTGCCTAGTTGCAGGGGCATGCATAAAAATAAAAAAAAGAACACTTAGATTTTATTGATACATAAATTTTTAAATTAATATCATACTTTCTTTTCAAGTTAAAAATAATTCCCACAGCAAACCTATAAGTGAGATGCTGTCTCTCCTTTCTGCCTGCCACTGAATAGCAGTGGGGCACCCCAGGAAACACACTGTAAATTCTGCGTGCATAGCTTAAAGTTACTCCCCGGTATGGAGAGCTGCTAATACAGCACCATTTTAGCATGTCTTAAAAGATTTTCTTTTAAATTTATTTTTCATATGTAAGGGATTGACATTTCACTTTTATCTTTGCTTTCTGCTTGCTACCCTGTCAGTATTTACCAAGCTCACTTACAGGTTTGAAGAATCAGTTTACCTAAACCCAAGAAAGAATACAAAGCATTGGAAAATTCCTGACAGAGAAAAATTATAAATCCCACCTTTTCCTAGAAGATGGGAAAGTCTGCATCTTGTGAAGGACCAAGAGCCCCACTGTGCCCAAAGAAGTCACATCATCTGTACTCTGCTCCAGCACTGTCCTTGAGTCACCCCATTCCTGAGATGAGCCCACTGTGCAAAAAAAAAAAAAAATCCATTCTCACCTGTGAATTCTGCACTGAGTCCCCAGCCATATTATAGGAGTTTGGAGATCCTGTGGTGAGCCACATTTTTCTTTCTAACCTAAAATAATTTGCTTTGTTATATCAGAAAATTATGCTTTTAATCATAGCTTTTCCACAATTTTTTTTTAACTGGGTGAATTCAAGAAGGCTGATTAACCACTCTGGATGGTGATTTTATTATCTACTCCAAATTAAAGTAGTATTGTACTTTTTTGCAAGATTGTTATAAAAACCAGCTGATAGATGTAAAGTGTCTAATGCAGTACAAATCATAGAATAGGGTACTGAATTAATGATAATTAGAGTGGGAATATATTGATGATAATGAGAGTGAGGAAGGAGCGAGGGAGATGAAGGAAAAGAAAGGAGGTGGATGAAAGAAGAGCATTTCTCCAAAGCAGTGCTATGAGATGAACCCACGCTTTGGTTTATCATTGTATAAACTGGGATTCTGTCTTGGTTTCAGAGTGTGATTAGCCCCCAGGGATCTTGACCTAAAAACCAGGTTATGGCACATTCCCCTCTCCTCTAACCCTGGCAACAATCCATCTCCCTCTTTTAGAAACTCAGACCTCAATTTGTGGCCTCCCCATAACTGCTTGGAGCATGTATCTTCTCTTCCCAAAAGCTCTGTAAAAGCAAAAATCATTTATCACACCACATTTCTATTTAAGTGTTGCTCTAGTTTATCCTATAGAGCAATGAATTATCTAATTGTTACAGCAAATGTGTGATCTACCCAGCGAAGGGAAAAAGCAGATTCTTTGGTGTACAATCCATACCTGGGAAGTCAGCATCTTTTCACTTTATTGACTTTTGCCTTTCTTTTTTGGTAAATTGTCTTGTCATACTTCTTACACCTTTTTGGGGGGTGAGGAAGGTTCTGAGGGATGTCTCTTTATAAAACGTTTTAATATATGTGTGCACACACATGCATATGCATATATGTGTGCTATTAACTGTATGGTATATTTATTTATTAAATTAATTTTAATTAGACTTAAGGTGGAAGAAAATTAGGAACTTTCTAGGAATCCTAGATTTGAAAAGTAAGGTGTAATGACGAATCTACAAGGGGAAATTTAAGACCATGGACATTTTCTAAATGCACAGACTTGAGATGTCTCTTGTAAACTATTGGCCAGTCTAATTTTTTATTAAGATTTTTTAAAACTTATTTTTAACTGATATATAAAAACATAAAATTGTCCATATTAATGGGATGTGGTATTTCTATATGGGTATATATTGCTTAAAATTTCAATCAGGTAAAACATATTTATCTTCTCAAACATTTTTCATTTTGTTATGGTGGAAACCATC